AGCCTAAAGTCTGTGATTTTGACACAGTTTGAAAAAGATTTTTACAAAGATCTAATCTGTCCCTCTAAATTGGTCGTGACCAGGACATAAAGGTGTCCAGGGACTCCAGGGGATTAATCGTCAAATTAACCGTTATCAGCTAAACACCACAATTAATCGTGATTCATTTTTTGCCAATATTGCCCAACTTGTTCCAATTTGATTATGATTAGAAATGTATATGCTTTTCTCACTATGGCACAGCATCCGTTAGCAAAGTGTGATAACGCACATCTCTGTCACCTGACACACGGTCTTTGAGGGGCTTTGTTTATAAAACAAATGTCCACGTGCTTTGTAAATAAAATTCATTTCCTTGCTTACCAAGATGCATTAAATTGATATGATGTTGAAGTCTGATGACATGAACGTTGTATAAGTAACAYTATTTTATRTCTTTTYTGCTACTTTTACATGGGGTTTTATTAGKTTTTTTTTAGAGCACAAGATACTTCCTACAATAACCAGATTCTGGAAGTTTCCCCAAATTTTTATGGAAATATCTTGAACATTAAACGAGCAAAAATAGAGAACAAAGCAAAATGGTTACAAGGGCCCTATTTGTTCTGCAGAAATCTTGAGCTTGGTTACACCTAAACAAACATCCAACGTCCTTCAAACCATTTCGTAGGATTTTTAATGTCCTTTTGAATCCACTGTAAGATTGGTGTGGGATAAAAAAAAAAATCCACATTCCTATATATTATTTATGATTGCAAAATGGTGCTATTTTAAAGTTTGACCAAAACAATCCAGTAATTTCTCATGATAAACTGATCTTAAGTGAAATTCGGGCATGAAAGGCGGCGGGCGATATGCAATCATCTTGAATGTGGTTCATTCAGTCAGTTTACGTAAGCAGCCTCGGTGCTGACAGCAACAACTCATGACTGAAACACATGAGATGATTACACTGAGACTGAAGGGTTGAAGAAAACAGACATTTATCTAAGATGTCACAGTGTCCCTCAGCTGGCCTCCCAGCTAAAGGCACCATTATACGCATAATGGCGAAAGCTAGCAAGCTATTAGCATCTACGCTACGTTCGACATGTTTCTATCTAAACCCAAGCTACAGGAAATGACACCATCTAAACGGGTTATTGTTAGAATAGTATACATACCAATCAAACGCAGAACTGAACCAGAGGGCATGTAAAGTAAAATGTAACGACGTCAGTACTTTCTTTTAAATGCTAACGCTAAAGCTAAAATGCTAGGCTAGGTCTTCGTCAGAGAATGACGCCACTCCATTCAGCAGCTGGTTAGCTTCCAGTGATGAACACTCACCATGTAAACAACATTCAGCGAACACAGCGCGTTTTTGGAGCAGGTGAAGCCGCCGCACACCATCTTTAGAACCAGGTTTACCGGCTGAGTTAAAGAGTGGGAGGACAGACGTGTCTGTTGTTGGGTTGCGAGCAGCGCTGCCCGGTCTGAAGCCTGTCTGAGCGGCGGAGAGGCCGAGCTGCTCCGTCAGAGCGCGAGACGCTTCACGTCGTTTAGGGCGGAGACTGGTCCTCCTCTGTCCTCAGAGGGTTTCACTGACCCTGCTGTAGGTGGAGGTGCTTCAAGGCAAACTGAGCTTATTTTTATTTATTCATTCTCTCAACAGTTTCTGTCACGACAGGTCCTAACAATGTCATTATATTAATAAAATATTTATCAAGAGATACAGTTGTTACAACCTGAAGGGGATAGAAATGTTTGTGAAGCTGGATTCTAACTTGTCTGAAGACAGGTTTWTGGAATGGTTTGGAGAATGTAAGATCTCTGAACATATTCAAAACACATATTAAAGCCAGTCTTTTTGAAGGGATATGAACAAGTATAATTTGAATCGATAGGACGTATTGTTTTATTTGATAGATTTTTTTCATAACTTTAATCAGTATTGACTTTGACAGGATTTGCTG